TGGTGATGGTACTGAAATTTGTTGGTAAATCCTTCTGATTTGGCAGGATCCACTACTCACCAAGGCTTTTACTGCTCTTCAGGAAGCCAGCTGCTTTCCAGATCATCATTTAACAGGGGAGGAGGACACAGGATAGTGGGTGCCCAGTGCTCTGTCACCAACATAGCTGGTGCCAGATCAGCTACTTTCCATGGCCAATCTGTGATGGGGAAACCATTTTAGTAAGTTCAAGAGAATAAATAAGTTGCAAATTTCATGCACAAAGTGCTAGACAGTAGGTATGGAGTGAGTTTTTCGCTCGTAAATCTGTACTTCCTTAAGCAAGTTTTGGGCTGAAACGCATTCAGTAGACACCACGGATCATGGCCTCACCTTTGCTTGTTGGTGCATTTCGAGCATCCTGCGGTAGTCCAGCCTTGCGACAGGGCAACCGACGATAGCCGATACCCTCGAAACAGCCTCACTGACAGCTGTTTCCACTCTTTCCTTGCGGAAAACCTTGACGATGTCTTCTTCCTCGTCTTGGTCGATTGGCATCGCCCTGCTATTGATTCCTCGCAGACCAACGCCTTTTCGGAACCACCTCAGCATGATCTTCTCAAGGATGCCAACACTTTGAAGTAACTCCTTGTACTTGTTTCTTTCTCGGTGAGCTCTGAACCGTGCCTATCAGAATAAACAGGTGGACTTGCTTATCGACTGAACAAAATCCTCAAAACATTAAGGATGCACTAGTACACATCAAATAATTACTCTGCGCATTATACGCGGAACTGAACTTACCTGAATCTTGATGACATTTTTCCGAATTTTCTGATATTCCTTACGTTTCTTCCAGCACCTGAAGTTCTTCTGGATAGATAATGTAGCTCTTTCGAGCATAGATGGCGAAGCAGAGCTATCTCCATTCTGAAGAGCCTTTTGTTTCTTCTTTTTTAAGGAAAACACACGGAAGGTAGCTTGTATGCGTCCGGCAGCTTGAACAGCATTTCGGATAGCTCCTAGAGAATCCTTAAGTGCAAGCTGATCATCAGTTCCACCATCCACATGTGCACATTTATCTGATACTCTATCCACAGCATTAGATGTACTCACTCCACCATTATGATCTACGGGTTTCCCATTTTCTTTTGATTCCAGAGAATCAAGGGTACTGGTTAGTTGTGCTTCTGAAAGGAATGCAGAGATGCCTATGAAACCATAGGCAGACGCAATCGAAGCAGGTGTCTTGGCAGCAGGGTCTTCCGCTGTTGGATCTGAAAGTGCACCCACAGCAGCGCCTGCAACAACAAGAACCGCTACCATTTGTTCCCTGTCATTTCATATTAGGGTCAGAGTCAGGAGGAAATCCATATGTGATGAAGCTAGGAAACAGAAGATAAATTGCTTATATTACAGATGGGACATTTGCATTTGGTTGCAAGAATAGGAAAGCTTACGAAACTAGTTTGCATACAACATTCCATTTAATGAATAGGTCATCAATACCTTCCGAATCGTGCAGCCCAATGCAGAGCAGTCCATCCATTTGCATCACGGTAGTTTATAGGCACGCCGTTACTAAGCAGCGGTTTCAAAGCCCAGTCGTATCCCAATGCAGCAATTGTATGTATCACACCATGGTATTGCCTAGGAAGCAAATACTCCCCTTCACTATTCTGTTCAAATTTGGATGATAGCCAGTCCTGGAACTTATTGTTAAGCATCACTTCCATGATGCAATTTACTGCATTCTCATGGTCCAACTGCTCACATGTTCTCCCTATAATCTCTGAGGGGTTAACTGGGAATCCAGACCGAGCATTTGGGAGTGGCAACCTGAACTTTGAGAAGAGTTCACAGCCATGACTATCAAAAAGCATCTGCACATAGTTAATCAGCAACAACAGCCCATTGTCACTTTTGGTAGGCCTCTGTTGGAATTCAAATTCTCGTGCTTCACTGCAGGGTTTCCCGTTCCCATTAATCATTGTGTTGGTAGGCTTTTCAACGAATTCAAATTCTCGATCTTCAGTGCAAGGTTTCCCATTCTCATCGAGCATGCACATTCTCACCTTTCCAGCACCAAGGTATGGTGGAGTATAACAACGGATGACACCTTGCTGGACAACTACCGCAGGTACTTTAACATCACCAAATAGTACCCATGAACTATTGGAGAGGTTGCAAGGGAAATCTCCTACAATGACAACCTGCATTATGTTTAGAGCCTCCAATTAATTATTGTAAGATCATGGTAGAAATTGACTTGAATGCAGTATTTCCCTAATGGACGGCATTTTTGCCAACGACTCAACGAGGCAATAGATGAACCCACAGATCATGCACACTCCGATTATTATAGTGTATATGTTAATGTAAATCCCATGTGACAATATCCCCAAATGGTTCCATAGCTTATCAATAGAGCAGAACAATGAAGATGCATTATTTAACTCACAAAAATAACTCGTTCTGGGTGATACCTTAGCACTTTCAGAACAAAATGCCCATTCTGGAGAAACCTCATGAAGATGGAACCATTGGTTTTCATCAATTGTCACAGGAGCTGAATGTAGAATAGATTTAAGTTGGTCATCCTCCAACCATGTTTCTGATCAAGAAAAGATATACATGGAAAAAATGCAAATTTTCAGAAAGTTTGCCCATGTTAACCCAGGCAGTAACTACCAATGAAAGAATCAAATGCATGGCATTTGCTAGTGCTAGAGTAGAGCACCTGAATATTTCAGGACATCGATAGGATCGGGATAAGGGTGACTTCCTTCAGCATGGTTGTCTTCACTAAACCCCAGATCAAAGACATCTGCAAGGTTTATACATGCGTCTAGTTCTTCATTCTGTATCCCATGCGCAGGAATAGGATCATGATTTGGCAGAACCTCATCAGTGTTAACATCATGACGTTCCTTGTTTTCCAGACTCAGCTGCATTTCAAGTGTCCGCCGCCAATCAAATAGACTTATATCATTTGTTTCATTGTTTATGGTCGGGATCTGGGAACTAACTTCTTCCGCGGATCCTGGGCTGCACGAGTTGAGAAGTGGCGCAACTATCTCACTAGTCAACCCTGGCGAACTATGTGCATCAGCTCTGCTAGCACTGCCATTCTGATTGGATGTTGGCGAACCGTTTAGCACTGATACTGAAATGCTGCCCTGGCAATCAATCAGCAAACAAAGGTTAAGCACAGGACATGCCAAATGTGGTGACTTCAGTCACTATAATAATATGCACTAGCTTAATAGGTGAGTTAATCAATGCAAGCCTACAAAATTTCAAGTTCAATTTCACTGGTGCTATGCCCCAGTGATCAATTAATCTTATATTGCCCACAGTTGAGAGTGAATAGATAAGTGTGGGTAGTAAACCAATGTTATTGTTTCACTCATCCTAGTTGGTTAAGCATCAGAACTGAAGATATGTTGTGAGAGAAGGAAGATAACGCAATGAGTAAATTGCAAAAAAGCACCACAACTGGGGACCCTAATTCACAATTGGGGATCCTAGATTCATAAAGCAAGGAGTTAAGCAAGAGACAAACCTCTAGAACGTCTCTATAGTGGACAAGAACGATGTGCTCATAAGCCCTGCAAAGATGAATTGTTTTCATTAAATGTGAACTAAAATTTATACGTAAATGGTTCGTATTCACAGGGGAAAATATCAGCAAATCATAACCCACACTCCAACAGTAGAAGTCATAGTAATAACAGGGTATAATACCAATATTTTCTGGAACTTAATTACTAGTACAAGAATTGATGTGCCTATTTTGGAGACTCCTAATAAAAATATAGGATTGCCCTTAGGAATAAAGTCTCTTGCACTGTTCTGCATCATCAGAAAAAGTGGAAGAACATTGTAGAGCATTACAAATTTTAACATGTCTACAAGGAACTGGTGAATGGTGGTTTCTATTTGTTGGGAACATCTCAGATGGATGCTGAAACTTCAAAGTAACGACCATACAGAGAATAACTTGTGAATATGAATTGTGCAACAGGCTTTACCATATAAGCAAGAAAATGAAACGACACGTGCCCATGAACTGCTTATAAATTCCTCCCTGAGTCCCCATTAAAAAAATTCTTCATGAGGAGCACAAAGACAAAGTTGCTATTGGGTTTGTGTTCTAAGGAGAAGCAATCACAATTTAAAAACATCCGAGAGATAAGAAAAGCTTATGTGAAGCATAGAATACAGTACTTAACATATGCCCCTACACAAGTAAACAGTCCTTACGGTTCAAGCATCCAATATATCCGCCTCATGAATCTAGGATTATTTTCTGCACGAGCATAGTAGCAATTCAGAGCCTTTACATTATCAACCTGAAATTTGCAGGGTCAAAAGAAGAAAGCATATTAACTACCCAGCTTATCTGATTGGGCCATAACAACAAATATCCCATCTATTTATTGGCTTTCTCAGATGCTCGCCGCCAAAACATACCATGATTAACACTTGAACTCCTATTACTAGACTAGAGAAGATAAAGGTTGAACAGACCTTAAGGTACTCATGTGCTTCATTGCCGCTCTTCCCATTCTTCTTTTTCTGCCACACATACCCATCATTCCGGAAGAAGCGATGTACCCTACGGTTGAAAAGGAACCAAGAACCACCTGTAATTTCAGTACCAAGTAGGTTAATCACACCCAGGGCACACATTAGATTGAATCGGATACTGTATCTCGCAAGCAAGAAAACAAAAGGATGGTTTTATTACTCGGTGGCCTCTGAGGGGTCCTGTTTTGGATCCCGAACAGCTCACAGTTCTGCAATATGTCAAGAACCTCTCTGGGCTTGAGCCACCGCGTCTTCACCTCCCGCTGCAGATTTAGTATGTCGTGACCTGAATCGCAAACAAAATGTAACAAACTTGTCACAAACCAGACCATTAGGAACACATAACAACTAAGGGAATTTTTCACAGTTTATTAACGAAGCAGGGGATCACCATTTTTCTTTAACAAGAAAAGAAGAAAGAAACACAGCAGCTGGAGGGATCATGGTTCCAAAGTATTTATTACTAGATATTTCTAAAAAAGAGTATTTACTACTAGTAGTACATAGGATCATGGTTTCAAAGTATTTAGAAAAGAAAGAAACATAGCAGCTAGGTGAATCAGGGACATGAGTTCTGCAGCAGCATAAATAGGACCCAGCACCAAATATCCATACACCTAGGACTATTTACTACTACTCCCCACCCCGCGAACCCAAATCTAACCGCCCGGCGCCTGGTAACCAAAATCCGCCGCAGAAACCGCGCACGAGACGGGGAAATATTGGAACTTTGGAACTACGGTAGTACTAAGTAGGAGGCGCCGGGAGAATCCGGCGTTGATTACCTTGCCGCTGCTGCTGCTGCATCGCGGCGGCCGGACGAACTCCGGCGAGGGAGAAAGAACTGGGGCGGGGGGAGTGGCGAGGGCACCGAATATCCCCGCAGGCACCACCGAGGTGAGTCTTGAATGGCCGGGTCGCCGCCAACTACTCCCCCAGGTGTTTGCGGTGGGTGGCACTACTTCTTGAATACTATACTGTTGGATCTGGGACGACCAAGCAATCACTCGCTCCGGTCCAGAGATGCCAGTCGGTCGCGCCGAGCAGCGGCAGTATCCAGTGAGGCCGGAGAGGGAGGGAGAGGGGGATTAGTAGGGAGAACGATGAACGCGTGAGGGGGGGAGAGTGGAGAGGAGAAACTGCGCGGCGGATTCCGCCGGACATCCCGGCACAGAGGGCTGGTGCCAAAGCCAAAGTGTAGGAGCAACTCCAACGCGGGGACCAATTCGTCGGCACGTGTTTGTTTGGGTCGAAATGAACGAAAATGTCAGCCCAACGTGCAGACTCAAATCGCGTTCGCTCGGTGTCTGTTTGTATGCATTTCATGTCTAAATTTGAACTTCATTTGTGTCCACGCGGACGCCAAACGAACACGCGCACGTCCTCTCGGTGTCCGTCGTGGCCCCACCTGTCGGCCGCTCAACTACCGACCGCTGTCATATTAAACGCGGTCACCTACCTCGGGTCCGCCTGGCAGTAGGTAAAAGCGCGTGTGGCTGTCCTTTTTAATGCAAGCGTGCAAGGGAAAGGGAGGGGGGTCATCCATTTCCATTCTCGTCCACATCTAGTCACGCTTGCTCCCTCGCCGACGACAAGAAACCCTAGCCAGCTAGCCATGGACTTCTTCAGCGAGAAGGGGAAGGGGAAGTCCAGCGCTAGTGCTAGCTATTCTCGGGCGCCTCCTCCGCCGCCACGGGAGTGGGAACGGCTGTACATCCCAGTCTACCAGGCGTGATGGCACTGGCAGTACCGCCAACCCCTCCAATATCCAGATGTCATCCCGCCGCACGGCTGGCATCTGGACCTGCATACGTCCCCATTCTAACGGTGCCGCGCTCGTCGGCGCACGCCAAGGGGGTTCGTTGGCGTCGCGCGCGATGTGTGCCTACGCGCCAGACTCCCCCAACTGGTAGCCGAGGAGGAGCACCGACGCGGTGTTCACATCGACCATGCCATTCCCCCCACCGCCCTCACAGGTCTTGCCGGAGGAGGAGGAGGAGAAGGAGGCGGAGGATGCGTACCAAGTCGCGCTCGAGGTGGCCCTGCAACAGGCGCTCGAGTAGAGCCGGCTGGAGGAGGACGCGCAGTGGGACAGCCTGGAGCAGGACCTCGCTTTGTCGGCCACGGGGGACTCCGTCCATGCTCCCCTTTACGTCCCACCACCGCCGCCCCCAGACGTCGAGCCCAAAGGCGGATCCAAAGCCAAAGCCCATGCCCACACGGAAGCAGTCGTCGCTGCCGTCGAGCCCAAAGCGGAGCCGGAGCGAGAGCCCACGCGGGAGCGATCGCCATCGCCGCCCCCAGCCATCGAGCCCAAAGGCGGATCCAGAGCCAGAGCCCACGCCCACTCGGAAGCGGTTGTCGCTGTCGTCGCCCTCAGTCATCGAGCCCAAAGTGGAGCCGGAGCCAGAGCCCACGCCCACGCGGGAGCGATCGCCACCGCTGCCCGCTTGGCCGGAGGAGTCCTACTCGTGGACCGACGAGCTCCGTGAGTGGGTGAGCACGCCTCCATCCACTACGCCGCGGCGCCAGAGAGGGAGGAGGCCCACCTGGAGCGCCGGAAGGCGCACTGGCTCGTCGAGGAGCGGGACGATGGCGAGCGGCAGATGCTCTGGGGGCGCGAGAAGGAGGAGGAGCGCGTCCGCCGCGTCACAATGCCGCCGCAGCAGCAGACGCCGGAGAAGGCCACCTTGGCAGCCTGGCAGCTCGCATTCGGGTGGGCTGGGCCGCCGCCCGCCTTCATCGACCTCACCGGCCACGGCGACGACAACAAAGGCAAGGGCAAGAGCGAGGCCTAGGGCAGCGTGTGAGCGCGGAGTTTTTTTATGTTTAATTAGTGTTTAAGTGGATTTTGGCCTGCGTTAACCAGCCATTTATGTTTAATTATTTTGTTTTGATTGGGTATTTACAAAGTTTTTTTTTTGATGCGCATAAATTTGGGTCTGCCATCTGATGGACGCATAGGTCAACCCAATAAAAAAGCAGAAGCGCCCGTCCGTTCGGCTAACCCAAACAGACAAACGTACGTCCGTTTGGGTCGACGCATTGAAATTTGATCTAAACCTTTGCTCTCTCTTTCTTGGCGATTATTATGATATTTAATCAAATCTGTTGATCTATCCAGAGTATCTGTTTTCTTGATGGTTACAGAAAGCCTGATGGTGCTACTGCCAGGCACACATGTTTCTTTCAGAGAAATCACCAGGATATATTCTACTCTAGAACCACACGACAGCCGTGCCCGGTCCTTGCTTTGAGAACAATAAAATAGCCCCGATAGTTGCAACGCTAATGCATGCACCTGCTTTTTGGTGATAAAAAACTGTTATCCGCAGCGACCCCCGTCGATTTGATCCGGAGTCCTCGTCACTGGGAGTACTATGCTAGCATGCTGGAAGGAACGATGATGGAGCTAGATCCTATATCTGCTAATCCGTTCATCTGTGATCTGTCCGGCTCTTTCTTTTCTGATGATGATGGTTACGCTGGGGGCGCACCGCACACACGTTGCTTTCACGATGAACCACATCGTGATATATTTTCTATAGTATACGACACGCGTGTTTGGTGGCGTGGGATATGATAATGCATGCTGCCGTTGCATGGCAAATTTGATAATTTTGATTTTGGGACGAAATCAATTCACGGAATGAACTGCCCGTGAAACTATTTCACAGCACTGATCCTTTTGTGTAGCGCTCGTTACGCAGGCGCCACACCCTACGGTGCAACGCCCAACGCTGGGGCGTTGCACGCCTGTCCACCGTGGCAGCCCTTGGGCCCGCACCCAGTAGTGCAGTGCCTCCGAGCTAGGCGCCACACATGTAATGTGCAGCGTCCGGCCCGTAGGCGCTGCACTGTGACTTAGATGCCAGCCGCCCCTCCCCCTCCCCCTCCCCCACCCCACCCATTCGTTCCAGCAGTTACAGAACAGGCGCGCTGGCGGCTTCCTCCTCTCCCCCTCTCAATCCCCTCTCCTAAATCCTTCAGATTCGATGATTTGGTCCGTGCATTTCTTCACCAATCCATCCTAGAAGGTACTCTCCTCCGATCCCCTTCTTTCTATCCATAAAAAATATGATATTTTGAAGATTTGGGAATCCTTGTTTGATTAGATTAGATTTGAATCTTGCATGTATTAGAACTTTGCATGTATTACAACCCTTGTTTGTTTGATTTGTGGAACCCTAGTTTAGTTTATGGAAGAGTTATTTGTATGAAGTAGGCATAGTTTATGGAAAAGTTATTTGTATGAAGTAGGCTTAGTTATTTGTGAAATCCTAGTTTATTAGTTTTGTTTGATTTGATATGGTTGGATACATAGATTGGTACGGTTGCATCTAGTAGACGTACTTTAGTTTATTTGTATTCAAAAGATAATCGTGTTGACAAGAAAGCTTTCTTTCAAAATTGTTAGGATGGTTTGGCTTCTCGATGATCACTGGGACAAACAACACCGGTCGTACGCTATGGCGGTGGAGCAGCGGGTAATAATGATAGTGGCCTATTTTATGAATTTCGTATTTATTTCAAACACAAATGCCCCATATGTAATGTTATGAATTGTTTGTTTGTAGGCGCTTGCACCTTTGAAGCTTCGTTCTCACGGGGTCACCCTTGGGTGGATGCGCTATGATGAGCGATACACACCGTATGTAAGGAAGACAAGACTTCTCCCTTTCATTCATATGGTCAAACGGTCGACGCCACCCAACAATGCTCCAGCACTCACCGTGCTTATTGATCATTGGCGGCCGGAGACACATAGTTTCCATCTACGGACCGGAGAGATGACAGTGACGCTCCAGGATATTGCTATGATCATCGGTCTTCCTATCGATGGGAGAGATGACAGTGACGCTCCAGGATATTGCTATGATCATCGGTCTTCCTATCGATGGGAATCCTCTATGTATGAGCACCGATTTCGATGGGTGGCGCGCGCAGATGCATATGCCCTTATCGGTATGGTTCCTCCGGAGCCTCCGGAACCAGCAGCAGAAAACAAGAAGAAGGGAAGAGTCGCAGCCGGTGCTACTTTCACGTGGATTACTGAGCACTTTGGTACTTGCCCACCGGAAGCTGATGAGGACACGGTCAAGACATATGCTCGTGTCGACATGTGGTATGTGATATCCAGGACTATGTTTGCTGATGGCACATACAAGAATGCTCCATGGATGTGGCTGAAGGCATTGACCGTCTTCGATAGCAATTAGAGTTGGGGTTCGGCGACACTGGCTTACTTGTATAGATAGGTATGAAGTTGTTTCCTTTTCACTTCATTGCTACATTATGAATGCGATCTTGCTCTTAATTGAACCATGTTCTCTTTTATGTGCAGTTGGACGAAGCCTGTTGTAGGTCATCTGGAGGTATTGGTGATTGTTTGCTCGCACTTTCCATATGGAGCTGGGAGCGTTTGCCGGTTGGACGTCCGAAGGTGAAGTACGATGATTTGGACGACAAAGGCGACCTACTACAACTACCCACTTGGGCTTACAAGTGGGATGTGATAAATGAGACGACAGATGATCCCTCGGTCATGTACAAGTTGTACCAGAGCGAGCTTGACGCGATCATGCCTGAGCAGGTGAATTGACATTGCATAAGTGATTATGATGCTTCTATTGCAAGTCGATATCAATTTTGCATTCTATCCCATTTTGCAGGTGATATGGGAGCCGTATGAAACAGGAGATAGTTTTGGTAACCCTTTAGAGTTCAGGCTGAATCCGATGTGCACTAGGGATAGGGATCTCTGTCGTATGCGGTGCCCACTCATATGCAACTGGGCGGTTGAGCTTCACCTCCCACATCGAGTGCGCCGTCAGTTTGGTTTGTTCCAGGCACATCCGCTGGAGTGGGAGGACACGGACAAGTTGCTACACGCGTAAGATATAATTAACCTTGAGTACTTAGCAGCTTCTTGGCGGTTTCGATGCTACTAATATTATGTTTCTAACTTGCAGGTTGGATAGGAAAAGGCAGCGGAAGATTAAGGATTGGGACAAGCATCACAGAAAGTATGTCGTACAGTTTGCGCTTAGTGTGGAGCAAGCTAGGGCTGGAAAAGGAGTCCAGCTTCGTGAGCACTGTCGTGTAGCGTTCAACAACTATCTCACATGGTTTCTTGCAAGTACCCGTGTGGAGGTATGCAAGCCGGCGTATGCTGAGGAGATTTTGGAAGAACCCACTGTTTTTGATGAGGTAGCCCAACACCAGTACAACGCATTAGTCAGGAAAGGCAACTCAGTGATCCCTTCAACTCCAATGATGAACTTTGTGGTATTTGCCCTCTTTGCTTTTCATTCACACTATTCACATCTTCGCTTGCCTAACACGTTAATACCATTTCTGTTCATAGCGTGCCCAGATCAAGAAAGCAGCTGATGAGACCGAGACTATTCTTGAAACAACCCCGGCTGGCAAAAGCGATGGAGAAGGTGCACTTCGAGCATTCATTAAGGTTCACATCTCCTTCAAACTAGCACTTAACATGTGTTGCTACGTTTGATGTCTCATTCACTTGTACATGTTGCAGCGCCAGGGCCAAAAGTTAAGGCGGCTATCAAACCTTTTTGGTTGTCGTGACCCCGAGTATGTATCACCAGAACGGTCTAGGTCGGCGACACCATCAGATCCCGCTTTGGGTCAGAGCCATGGTGATCATTTGGAGGATGAGGATGTGGGTGTGGTCACCCAAGAGGTATGGCATGAGCATATATATCCAATTGTTGATGCATTGCTAACTATATCCTCACACACGGTTTTTCCATATCTTTTGTTGATGCATAGGTTGCTGCTGATGATATGACCTTGGGGACGTACCAGGTTAGGTCTGCATACATGCTAAAGCCTAGGACGGGAATCAACAAGTACACACCTGAAGACTTCACCCAAAGAAGGAAAAGGACGGTCGGCACCTCGCGGATGGCGGCTTTGGATGACTATTTGGATGACGATGTCGATGACGTGGAAGAAACGGAGCCGGAGCGGGAGCGTGTTCCTCTTCCTAGGAAGAAGTTAGCCAGCAAAAGGGGGGGGAGTAGCCAAAAAGCGCTCAAGGAACTAGCTTTTCTTAGGAACCAGCCATCGTCCTTTATTTGTAATGTCGGTGAACTTGGAGTTGTGGTAGCTCTATATTGAACTTGATCCTCTTTGTATGTCTTAGTTATGTTGAACTTGGAGTTGACGTCTTAGCAATGTTGAATTTGATCCTCTATGTTGCACTTGTTGTCTTAATAATGTTCAACTGTGACTGAAATGTGAACTTAAAGTTTTTGACTGCTTATTCTAGGAAATGTTGCAATGTACCTGAAAATGACCAAGTTTACAAGCTACTGTACAGTGTGACGCCTCCAAGCTAGGCGCTGCAGCGGCT